TCAAGCTTGGGGATTGGGGGGGAGGGGAGGTGCTGAGGTTGGGGATCGGGGGGGAGGGGGGTGTTGGGGGGGGGGGTATTAGTCTGCACTTGTATACTGTCAGTAACATCACACTGTTCTGCTGCACTTGGACTGATTAGTGTTTTTCTCTAAAAACTTGAAATGCCTCAAATGGCCTTAAATATTTAATGGCTTGTAAAATGTTGTATTTTTTGTGCATTGATGAAATGTGTTTGCCTTAAATTAATCTAATCTGTGTTTTCTTTATTTTCTTTTTGAAGCTGTTATAAAATGAAGATGGTATTAATTATTCAGTGCTAACTACTGTAGTTTTATAATATGCCCTCTTCCATTCTTAAAAAAAATAAATAAATCAATTCAATTCAGTTTATTTATATAGCGGTGCCGCCAATTCACAATAAAGTTGTCTCTGAGCACTGTACACAAACAATCATATTCATAGAATACATAGAAAAGCCAATTATGTTCTCTATCAAAGAAAAAAGTCAGTCAAAAGAATATAGATGATAATACTAAAACTTTTATAAAATCTCATGCTCTAAATGGGATTGCTTTCTATTTTTGATTTTAAGCATAAACATTATTGACCATTTTAATCCATGTAACCAAGTGTTGCAGGAAAAGAAGCCCAACATTCAGTTACATAAGATTTAAACACATCAGTTCTTTTCTATCCAGATCTATCCACACAGACTGTAACTTTTTCACTGTATGTAAATATGTTTATTTGATGGTGCATGAACTGCAAAGTTCCAAGAACTGAATTCTGTTTCACCCCTTGTTCTGTCCCAGAGAGAGTGTCCTCTACTGTTCACCAAACAAACTGTTGTTGTGCACATAGGTGGAAACATTTATTTAACCCGTCACCCCTGGGATTTCCTTTTACTGTCTGTGTTCATTGAACTCCAATGGGATCTAAATGCTCCCTTTGAGACTGCACAAATGGGCCATGCGCTGAGGTCAGAATGCTCTTTGTATTCATGTGCATGTGAGTGTGTGTGCAGATCCAGTATGGATGAACTGACCTGCTTTGTGTATGTCCAATCAGCCACGGTTCTCAAAATTGGCAGACAAAAAGAGGACTGACTACCTTTTGACAGAGCATTTTATCTCAATGAGATCATTGCATGTGCTCATTTATTACATTTGACCTGCTGTTGTGAGAGATCTGCTTAAAGTGGAAGCAGAGATGTAGAGTTTAGTTTTCTAAATACTTTACCTCTAATCCTCTTCAATAACATTCAAGCTAAGATAGATTTTTTTTTTTAGTAAACAAATATAATTCAACACCATGGTTTGTGCTAAAATATAATTAATTTTTATAATTAAATTGTTGGGCTTCTGATCTGGGACCTGAGTCTAAATTTTGTACCATAAACATGCAAATGTGAGCTGGTATGACAATAAAAAAACAAAAAAACTTGAAGTAATCAAAGCATTGTTTTGCTTTGAACCAATAATCGTCACATTTACTACCCAGTGCTATTTTTAACAACGTCTTTCTTTGCTAAAATTAAGATCTTATGCGATGATTTGGCTTTCGTCGAACTATTACTCTAGCGTTTTTCCCCTAAAGTGTAAAAGACAACCATGAAACAAGGGAGGCAGGAAAATTGGGGGTAAAGGCCAGAAGCCAAGATAAATGGAGGGAAGTGATGAAAACAACAGATCTTTGCTTCTCAATCCTTTTGTGTCCATGGTGTTAATCCATTTGAGCAAATCCAGTCCCTCCTCCCTCCTGCACCACTCCCCCACCCCCCTCCAGCCCCATCATTTGCACCAGTCGCTCCCAACACATAAACAACTGGCAGCACCCCTGAAACCAATACCCAGACAGTCAAGCAGTGCCAGGTCACAGGCAAAGTAGCTCTATAGCAAACACACAGCTCACTTCAACTCTGTCCTTTATTTTACCCCCCGCCCCCACCCGCCATACTACGGCCTCTGGGAATGAGTCAACTGTATTTGGTTGTTTTGTACGTTTATGCAAACCCAATTTTTCTCACTAAATTAGGAGGAAACACAAAAGTGCTTTTACCTTGTGCTGTATCGTTTGCCACAGTGGGTTTGTTTTGGCCACAGTGCATGTACTGGAGGCACTTGAGAGAAGCACGGTGCGTTGCTGCATGTGTTTTTGTGTCACAGTCTTGTTTACGAGCTGTAGATGATGGGAGAGAGAGGAGGAGGCATCTGGGAGGGGAATCACGGTAGTTGCCAGGGAAAGAGGAGGTTGTGTCTAATGAGGTCACACCCTGGCAACCAAATGACTCCTCCCTCTTAGCCTACCCCTGTCGTCTCCCCCCCCCCCCTGCCCACCCACTCAACTCCCCTCCTTCAGCCCCCACCCAGACAGAGAGCACTATCCATGGTGCTGAAAGCAGAACAACACATTCAGGCTCCAATTATTTATTAATCCACCAAAGAGGGAAAGAAATTGAGAAACATGATGTAAAAAAAAGCAACATTAAACAACAATCTGTCCATAGCAACTCGGGAATTGGTTTTATGAAAATCTGTTTAGAAGAATGCAGTCAAAGAAACAGCAAACAGGAAATAGAGATGGAGTGTGTGTGTGTGTGTGTGGGTGTGTGTGTGTGTGTGAGAGAGAGAGAGAGAAAGAGAGAGAGATGGTGGCTACAGTAGGCAGTGGGCGTGTTCAGTGTTTTGATCTATAGTTGGGAAGCCCAGTGTCATCTGCTTAAGCACCGGCCGGCTGAGCAGATCTTTGCAGCTAAGCAGGAGAGAGGGCACCGGCATGGAATGCTATACTTTTGGTCTACCTCACTCTCAACCTTTAGGGCAGAGTGGACCACCTCTTATTTTTCTATTCCTGTGACATTTCAACGCACTGAAAGAGAAGAGGAGGTGCTCTGGGAAAGAAGCATTTGAAAGATCTGATGAGAAGAGACTGTGTCTGCCTGTTCTGCAGCTCAAAGAAGATTTCTTTTTAATTGAATTTTAATGAGAAACGTCAGTGTGCGTCTGTGAAATGCATGCAGTTGCATTCTGCTCTTACACATCGTTCGGTTTCTTTTTTTAGCATGTGCTGACGTGTGGAGGAGTGAAGCTGACGTCTGGCTTGAATCGTGGCAACATCTGGATTGGAGGTGTCCCACCTTTGGCCCAGGAGGGCAAGCATCGGGCTGGGCATCCAATGGCCCAACTCCCTTGCAGCATCATACTTGTCCTGGGTCACAGGGACACCTTGTAGCAGGAAAATCAAACTGACCCTACAATGGATGGAGGTCCATGTGGATGTAAGAGGAATTGTGCACAGGTGCTCCAGCTTAGGACAGAGTTCATTACTGCACAGTGGACTCAGGGAGAAACAGAAGATTTGTTGGTTCATAGACCAGCCAAGACGCAACTTCATTGTAAGTATGCATCAAAACAGTCATTTGTAATGACCAATGGGACATTTATTGACAGGTTTCCTATATTTTCATGTTGTGCACAGTAATGTATAAACTCTGCAGAAGACTTCATAAAAAGTCTGCTATATTTAAAACAATCACATTTTACTTTGTATTTGTTTCATTTTTTTTAATTGGGACAAGTAAACGGTAGCCTGAGTTACTCTGAGTCCACTGCAATGCACCGAAAATGTGTGTGTGAGTGTCTTGTGTGTGTGCGTGTGCACGCATGAGCATGCTAGTGGCCACCAAACTGCTGGCCTTGAAATCTTTTTGACATTGTGTCTTTAGAATATCCATGCCAGCCCTCTCCTGTGACATGGTTGCCTAGAAACAGAAATGGTGTGCCACCATCATTTAGTTTTAAGGCAAAGTGCACCTCAGTTCCAACTGTTGCAGCCATGTCATCTGAGGCAATAAACAAATAAACAGAACAGGGATGGAGAGGTGAGATGGGGTGAAATTAAAGAGAAAAGGTAAAACAGTGGATGAGGAAAGAAATATATTTTAAAAAATACTCGTTGCTGAATTTGCAATGTTAAAAGAGATGAGAGAATCATGAATGCATTAAATGAGTTATGGAAAGACAATTGGTTGAGAAAGGCTTGGCCAGTAAAAACCAGTGTGATAAACAAGCTGATTCCAGTGCAGAGGGCTGCTGCAGGCTTACGGGGATTAGGCAGGCAGGCTTAATTCAGCTCAAACACTGTTTGAACTGTGCTTTCTCATCTCCTCACTTCTTATTGATGCACCTCATTCCTTCCCAGAGACCACGCTTTATTTCCATGTGTGCTGCTTCAGTCTTTAGACAAGCGTGTGTGTATTTACACTACTGATAAGACTTGACAATCAAGAGATAAAATTCACTATGGCACAAGATACCAGGCTTCCATGTCCTAGTTTAAATCCTGCTCCAAGGATGTTTTTGACTCCATTCAGTCCCCTCTTCATGCCTGTGAAGGAACTGTGCTGAACAATGTTTTTATGCAGCAAAGGGAGTGCAACCTACATACAGATGAACCTACTGACCTAAACCACATGCTCGGCTTATTCATAGACAGACAGTGTAGAAGGATGCTGAGGATGGCCAGACAATAACCCGCCTCTTCACTGGCCTTGCAATCTCCATCTGGCTGCCCTCCAAGACCCCCTTGCTGCCCTTGCCTCTGTACACACAAACATACATACAGTTATCACAAGCCCCTTCCCCCTCCCCTGCACTTACACTCAGTGCTCCTCTCACGTAAACAAGCATGAGTCTTAGGCTGATCTGAAAACACTGACCTACATAAAACCATGCTCTGTCTTCTCATCCTCCACTAGCCTCTTGAAATTCACATTGGGCGGTTGCACATACCATGCACTATGTTGCATGCTGTTGCAAGGGTTTTCAGGAAAATGCATTTTGCACAAGCATGCAGACTGAATCACATCATTAACTGCACCTTTCTGTGTTCACATCATGAGTCGATGCAAACAATCTTACTTTAAACTGAGGCCAATGCGGTTAAACATTTCACATCTTTGAGCTGCATCAATGCACTTTCTTAACAAACAAATTCAGTCCATATAAGTGTTTTTTAACATAAACAAAGGGCAACAGAAGAAGCATTGGTGGCTCTAAAACACAAAATGTGCTATCTTTGTAGATACTAAAACTATGCCTTGTGGTCTTTTAAACTGGTTCATTTTGTCTGTGGTTATCTGATTTGTCCCATGAGTGTTGTATTTCCACATCTGAGCCCAACACATATTATAACTGCAGAAGATGAAAGCCCCCTTTTCAAACTCATTCTCACACTCACTCAGTTACAGCCTTCAACTTCAGCCAGAAAAATGTGGAAACACCTAGAGAAAATGAGCATTTCGCCTCTAATCCACACTTAAACAGGAAGTTATGATTAATTTTAGTTTGGTGTTAAATCCAATGGTTGTATGCATACATTTGTGCACATGTGAACCCTTGCCTGTGTGTGTGTGTGTGTGTGTGCATACAGTATGTGTATGTGTGTATGCATTTGAAAACGTTTGTAGCCATCGAGAGACTTGCATCATGGCAGTTTCTTCCTGAGACTGGCATGATGCAAATCTCATGATTAACAGACCTTCTACTATCCATGAACTCTTGAACATCAGAAACAAAATCTCTCATTCAAATCAACTCGGTTTCTTTTTTTTATTTTTTTCTGGTTATTATTTTCTGATAGCTTCCATTAAGAACTAGAATTAAAAATTGAAGTCTGAAATAAGAATTATTGACCTAAGTCAGTCAATGTGTGGCATGGAGGCTGCACAGCTGCAGAAAGAAAAGCTTTGCAGAGAGTGGTGAAGGCTGCACAGAAGTCTGTTGGAGTCAGCCTCACCACCATCACAGACATCTACACCTCCAGATACAGGAAGAGGGCCACCTGCATCATGAAGGACCCCACTCACCCAGCACACACACTTTTTTCCCCTGCTCCCCTCAGGAAGGAGGTTGAGGAGCATTAAGTGTAGAACCACTAGACTAAAGAACAGCTTCTACCCTGAGGCTGTTAGACTCATGAATCTCTAACCAGGATAATCACTGTGAAAAATCACATCATGTTGGTGCTGATCTGTTTCATATTGCTGTGTTCACTTGTGCTCATCTGCTCACACAGACTCATGTTCGTGCTGCTGTTTGGCATATTGTTTTTATCATTTTTATGCTATTAGTGCTTAGTGTATTTGTAGTTGATGTTTTTCTTAGTTCGTATCTTATTACTGTTTTTCTTTTACATTTTATTGTTGGATGTAACTGGGACCCTATGTACATGATCTCGTTCCACCACATGTACCACATGTGGTGGAACGACAATAAAGAAACTCTGACTCTGACTCTTGTTTTACAAGCTGAAAGTGTTAATTTCATATTCCCATATCCTAAGAAAAGTTCTGTCTGTACGGTAAAATAACTGTGAACTTCTTGTATCTCTTCTTTAGAATGCAGTGGAAAGACTTGAAGAATGATGAGCTCCAAAGAGGAGGAAACTCTGAGTTTTTTCCAATATGTTGAGGAGAATGGGCTGAGAGCCTACAACAGCCTGATAGCTCAGAACTTGGACCACGCCAGGAATGAGAGAAATAGGACATTCCTGCAGGAAAAAAAAGACAAAAAAAGAAAACAGGAGGAAGCCATAAGGAGGTATGAAAATCCAACAAAATGAACACATTGCTAAAACATTAGCTCAAATTTGTTCACAAAAACATTCTAAAATTGAAATAAGTAACTATTTTTAATAATCTGTGATAAAATATTGCACAGAAGTGGGATTATTTTTGTAACTTCACAAATGTGACTGGGTTCACTAAGCGGTAGGAATTAGGACAAGTGGCCAGGGGGTCCCTGTGGAGGCTGCTATATTTTGGAGTTTACAAGTATGGGTTGCAGCACCTCGTGGCCTACAGAAGATAATTAAATTCCCGTTTAGACTTATTTGGGACTCGTCCTTGTGATGAGGTCATTACTGTTCTACTTTTGAAATGACAAACTTTATGAATTCAAAATGAAGGGGATAAGAAGTGACAGGAATTGTGTTAGGTTCCTGTTTGCTGTTTGATTTCAGGGCTGTGATGATCAGTCTGAATGAACAGTCCTTCATTCGTGAATCTACTTCATTGTCTTTATTTATTATTTTTGCAACAGACTAAATAAAGAATAAATAACAACTTATATTAAAATGTAGAACTTCTAAAAAACATGAACTCACTTTAAATTGTGTTTGCTTTCTCCCCCATTTTGAGTTTGATATTTAAAGACGAGGCCCAGGCAACCGTGCTGTCACTTCACAGCAAGGAGGTCTCACGTCCACTTTCAGTTTATTCAGTTTGTTCACACACACACAGATAATCATAAAACATAACGTATAACTGCAATATAACAGTGCATGAATCATGTCTCTGAAAAGCTATTTAAAGCTTATAGAGGGAGCATGTACATATAATTACATACAGTTTATAACATAATAAATAAAAACACAATAAATACATCATACATTCCTAATAAAAATTCCATTTACAATACAGATTGTTACCTCTGATCAAGCAGTTACAGGTCCTGCATGATCACAAGTATAAAAACAAAGTAATTTGGTCTTTACCCATTTTTTGAAGGTGGAGATGAATTTCAACCGTTTTAAACTCTCGTCAAGCTCGTTCCAAATCTCTAGCTTCCTGTCTGGGGCCTTAATGTGTGAACTTTGCATGTTCTTCCCATGCATGCATGGGTTTTATCTGTGAACATTGGTTTCTTAAAGACCAAAGACATGCATGTTAGGTTAATTGCTAAACCTACATTGTATCTACGTGTGAGTGAATTTGTGAATGATTGTCTATAAGTAGCCCTGGGATGGACTTGTGACCTGTCCACGGCCTCTCGCACTGTAACTGCTGGACATTGGCACCAGCTCCCCCATGACCCTACATAAGGAAAAAGTGGTTAAAGAAAATGGATGGATGAATGCCAGACAAGTGCATTAGAAATGGAACACCTCCATGAACAAATGCAATACATGTGTACTTCTTCACTACAGCTGATTGGTTGATTCATCCTTCTAAAGTATTAATTTGTCGGTTTTCAACAGAAAGATTATGAGAGATATTCAGCTCAGTGTTTTCATGATTTGATTTCTGTTAAGCTGTCAAACACAATACAAAACATATAAGCAGCTGTTGGCCATTTTATCTGTTCATCCAATATTACATGGATACAACTTTTGGGAGGGGGCTGGATGTTTGCGAGTGAGCAGATGTTCTTAACTGATTTACTCAAAGACTTTGAGTCTTGTCACATTCCTGTCAAAAGGGCATGCAATTGAAGTTAAGTGTTGTTATTATTCAGTGGTACTTTTATTATCTTTTGTGTGATCAGATAATATATTCCATTGCGTCAACACGGTATTGCATGGTTGGACAAAGCCGATTTTGAGTTTTCATCAGTGAAGCACGTAAGAGACAGTTAAAGTTCTAAATACCTTATGGAAATCCATCGTTGTCTTCGTTTCTCTTCCTAATAGAAACACTTGTTTGTCTTCTTGGCAGTCTGACACAGTACTGTGTAGTAACTGGAATGTAGGGTGATGCCTGAAGAAAATGACATAGTGTGCCTTGCAACCCATCTAATGCCTTTTATTGTTTGCCAAAGGAAAAATATTAATACATTTTCACTTTGGGAAGAAACAAAATAGCCAGATTATTTTATGAGTCATAAAAATGGGTCAATGAGATGACCCATTTCTACAGTAACTGGATGAGAGTGTACTTACACTCTCACTGAATACTTATTCAGTGTGCACGCTTGACTCAGTGAGTGAGTAAAGTAAAATATATGGAAGATTGTGGGGATGTGCATGTGTGGACTGGAACATAATAAAAGCTTATAATAGTTTGCGAGTGAGTGTAGGGAAGCGCAAATGGCCTGTCTGATTGTGTTAGGATGGAAGATCTTGTTTCAGCAAGTGTGCTTAAGAGTTTTTGGGGGGAGGGGGGGAGGAAAAACTAGTTAGGGGAAGATTGTTAGCTCAGTTACAAGAGATGTCTTCTGCCTGGTGACAGCTGGAACAGTCACCAACCAATCAAAACAACCTGATGGGTTTAAGTTAGGGAACTTCCTGTTAAGTTTCTTCACTCTGGGGTTTCTTTATTATCGCACTTCACTTGAAAGATAAAAATAATAGTTACACAAATTCCCATGCAAGAACAAGTATTGCCAATATTAGCTGCTCCTTGCACACAAGCAAACACACACACACACTAACTCCCACACACAACCACAGATACCTTGAATTTCTATATATTTACATAGGCATGCAAATTCCAAACGTCTGTTTTAGCTTTAATTACCTTTTGTGCACACAGTCGCAGACAGAGATTTTTTTTTTTCTTTTTATGCTTCATTGTTTTGATTTTCTTTCATAATAAACGTACGTATTTTATTCCAGTCACAACAGAACCAGAACTGACATACAACAAGTCAACTTTCACTGGTCTAGGTCTACTTGCAATGTGTCCCTTACCCAATCACTGGGCAAACATCCTATAAATAACTCCGTCACCAGCACTCTAGTCACACCTAGCCATCTACATGCACACAACCCATGTTATAGAGAAGCCAAAATAAATGCACACCTAATATGTATGGTACGGAGAGATCGTTAATATGTCACACTGACATCGGTGGCAACATTTAAAGGCATTTCCTTCTATTTACAGACAACAAAATTTAAAGCAAAATGCTAAAAAACAATTTTAAATTGAACAATCAAAAATAAATGTATTGTTTAGTTGTATTAATATGTTTTCCTGCCTTATCAATCTAAACGTGATTCTACGGGTTGCTTTTTTTTGTTTGTTTGTTTGTTTTACAACTAACATAATTTAAAAACAAAACCCTAATGTAGTTATTATGCTGACAAGTGTTAAGATGTGCACATGTCCTTTATTATTGTTGTGCAATGAGCTGGTCTTGTGTCTGGTTTCTATGGTACCTTGCCTGTTGCTAGGCAAAGTTAAGCCCCTGGCCAATGAACCCAACCTACAGAGCACCTTCTGTTCAGCAGCTGGCCAGGAGGGAGTCGAAGTCTGCAAAGTCACAGACTGAGCAATCACACACATATGCGTGCGCACACGCTCCTGCAAGATGCAAATGTGCTCTGTTTCATGTCATTTGTTTAAACATTTAAATCTCTCCCATCAGTCTGTATTGTGTTTGCCTGATATGATGACAAAGAAGTCAATAGCAGCGCTATAGTGTTGCAAAATTATCTTATATTATGTAGAATTTATATTTTGAAAATGCTATTTGCATAATGATACACACACACACTCACACACATGCACAGGCACACATTTACAGACTCTTAACCCATTAACCCACAATTCTTACTCATAGTTGAAGGTGTGTTCAGACCAATGTATTACACATTGATTTGAACAGGTGGGCTTCTGTATTGTGAGGTCACTAGTCCTATTAGCCCAATTCAGGGTTCAATTTAAATCAGTAATTTGCTCCGAAGGTTTGTGTTTTCAGCTGCACTAATGCGTCTGGTAATGTTAACGTAGCACCATTTTTATTTGAGCTACTTGTACAGGATGAACTATGCTGAACAGCTCAGAGAAATAGGAACCCATATTTTCCAGTGTGAAATGAAATTGTATTTTTATTCCATGTAATCTCTCTCCTGTCTTATTTTGCCGTTACAGAATAGGTGAGGAGATAGCAACAGAAGGCAAGCACTTGCGAATGGGTTCAATAACCATGCCAGACCCCCAGGAATGCATGCCCTTGCCTCACCTGCATGCCATTGCCTGCAGGCAGGGCTTTTCTGTGCGCTCCCAGTCCCTCCATTCGGTCGGTGGTGGGAACAGTGGAGGAGGAGGAGACGAGGAAGTGGGAAGTCCAACCTCCAGGAAACAGCCACCACCTAAACCCAGGAGGGACCCGGCCACCAAGCTGAGCATGTCGTCTGAGGCGGTGGACCACAGTGTTTCATCCATCTGCCATGGAGAGAGATGTGATGGTGAGTGGTGGTGGCACCTAACACCAAACTGCTGCAGCTATATTTAGGCGATGCTTGCGGTGCTCTCTTCAGCACTTTTTCCACACAATGACAAGCCATTCAACTATTCACAGAAAAGTGACAATATGCACTATAGGAGAAAATTCAGATCGTAAACAAAGTTACACCTATAATGGCTTTGAAATTATATCATGTATTCATTATTATTATTATCATTTTTGTATTTTTGTATTTACTAAACAATAATATAAAATGTATAATAATGTTGTAAGTCACATAGATATGATATATTTCAAATATAAGATATGACATAATTAAAATAACTTGCCAAAGTAGCCTAATAATGAGAGTCCATATTCTATGACACGTATATGTACAAACAAACTGAAGTGATGTTCGAATCCCCAGAATCTGTGCATTTAAAAAGCTTGGAAATAAGACATAAGGTTGACTGGTAATTGTGTTTTGGTTTTGTTCTGTTTAAGGAAAAAAAAAGTTTATATTTTGTATATTATCTTAACTCTTAGATGCCTGAAATAGATGTATAAGCAACCCCATCATGCTAGTAGTCCACATCTTTGTCTTATCTAAAAGCATCAACAATTGCCTTTTTGCAATATTTCATATTTAGTAAAATCTACAAAATATACTTATTAGAATATTAGTCACTGCCTTTTGTTAAAAAAAAAAAAAAAGATTGTATGAGCATTTTAATCAATGCAATGAAAACAAACTTGCATGAGTAAATAGAATAAGATGTCTGAATAAGAATATGTGCTGAAGAGCTGATGTTCCAGAAAAGCCAAGACAAATGTTCTCAGAGTTAATCTAAAAGAGTTAAAAATATCTTAATATCTATATTCAGTTTGATATTTGCATACTTAAATTTAAACTTGTATATTGTGTGTGTGGCCTTGGAGGCAGGGGTAAGAAAAAAAGTAGGTTGTATGAAGCTTTAATTTATTTTAGGTTTATTTTTTTTAGCTGTGCTGCCAATGTGATGTTTAAGGAGTCACCCAGCCTGGTTCAGATTGGTGGGGATGTCTGTGTGCACAGATCTTCCTGGGCACCACGGCAACCATCCCACAGAAACAAGACCCCCTGTAGCCCAGCCAATCACAGCAGCGCTCAGCATCTCGGGCCAATGGGACTCCAGAAACACTGAAGTCTGAGCTTTCACAGCCAATCAGGGATCGAGTGTGGGGGTGTCCCTGGAAGAAGGGAGGCTTGCGTGTGCTGTAGCTAGTGCACTGATGGGAAAGGGAGGAGCTTTTCAGGACAGGATTCATTCAGGAGGAGCGATTGACCTAGATTCGTTTTACCCAGGAGGAGAAGGAGGGGGAGGGTGTTGCGGGTAAACACA